AGGCTACATCGGGTAGGATTAGGGGAATTAAGATCGGAAATGGTGTTCCTCCACTAACTCATTTGCTGTTTGCGGATGATTCTCTATTTTTTATACAAGCAAATAATAAGAATTGCCGAGCGTTAAAGGAAATCTTCCAAACATATGAAAAAAGCTCGGGACAGCTCATCAACTCTACCAAGTCCATGATTACTTTTGGATCTCGGATCCCAAGTGATCTCCAAACCAGGCTTAAAGGAATTCTGGGCATTCAAAATCAGGGTGGAGGAGGCAAATATTTGGGTTTGCCGGAACAGTTTGGGAGAAAAAAGTCAGAAATGTTCAAGTATATTACTGATGCTGTGAAGAAACGTACATCTTCTTGGAGTTCTAAGTTACTATCTCCAGTCGGAAAAGAGATCATGTTGAAGTCAGTAGCTCTAGCAATGCCGGTTTTCTCTAGAATTTGTAAATTAGTATTTAAATGGTAAAGGGAGAACACTTTGTGGTCATTCCTCATGAGTGGACCACTGTGGACCAGATAAATTCTTGCAAGGGAGAAGATGATGGGAAGGAGTATCTACTGAAGTTCAAAGAAATTTCTTATGATGGATGTTATTGGAAATCTTAATAGGACATCTCAACTTTCCAGAACAAAATTCAAAGGTTCGAGGATATAAATTATGGTCACCGCAGAGACAAATATGTTGAACATGAGAGTGATCATAGAGATTTCATACACTTCGATCATACTCCTGAATTTCTTAGGCATCAGAGCCACCCAATCTTCAGGTCCTCCCCGGTTGGAGGCCTCCCCGTGGATGTTTGTTCCCACAAGTTTCCACGCATCAATCTGATTGGCTTGAGCGTGAGAGGGAGTATTGTGAAAGTCTCACAATGGTAGTTGCAGAATTTGTAAAGTAGTATTTAAATGGTAAATGACAATCCAGTTATCTCTAGTGCTTCCACTACCGATGTGGGACTTTCAAAATACAGCCTGCGGTGAATTAGCTTCATCATCCAATATAAGCTGAGGAGCTTCTACAGATCGTTTTGCTTTAACATATGTAACTGTTACGATACTAATCACTGCAAACTAAGCCAAAGCAATATATATGTTGTTAGAAATATAAACTTGCATATATAATTTTGTTTCATACTTACGAAATATGACTTTTACCGGATGTAACAGCTAAGAAGACAAAAGCAAACTTCATTGATGTTTTCTCTTTTATTTTACTTGTCGAGAATATTATTACAGAAAAAGATGTTGAAGATGATGTTATCTGAGATAGTTTTAGCTATTGTTGAACCGTTTTTATAGCATGGAACAATAGTTTCTTTTTCTTTTTTGGCATATCTAACCACTTTTTTGGTCAACAATTAAATACTGAAGAAGAAAATCATAATTGTATTAAGAGATTACTTTGACCAAAATAATGGTCGAGATCAAGCAGAGATAGATGGTTCAAATCCGCAGTCTAAAAGGAAAATAATTGATATACTTTGACCAAAATAATGGTCGAGATCTAGCAGAGATAAATGGTTTACATCACGTGACAAATGTTATATAGATTTGTATTGTCTATAGCCTAGCTAATCTGGTCCCATGTATTGATTATTTTCCTTTTTTATCTGATAAAGAATATGCTGACAATCATACATCAATCAATATAGATACACTTCTTTGATGGCCTTAACATGTGATCTTCTTTTCTATGGTCTATGTGAGAACAGATTGTAAAAGCTCCGCCTTAAATGTGAAAACAGAAACATGTGGAAAACTTTGTCATTGTGTGTCCCACACTTTAAGACATAAATGTTTCAGGTTTCAACTCATTCAATTAAATTATATATAGAAATATTTACTCTAAATGACACTTGGTATCTTTATAATTACACATTTTTGCACTTTCATTTGAAGTGACACTTCTTTCGATCTTTCCTTGAGGAAAAGACATAAGCCCCTCAATCCTGTATTTCCTAAATTCTAACCGGTGTAACCTCTATCAACCATAACTGATTTATCAAATTACCCAGCGTTTCCAACATCTCGCCGATGTCATTTTTTCATCAGCTGAATAAAATTCCGTTTTAACAATTCCGATTTCAACGAAATCCAAGCTCAGCGGAGTCGAGTGCATTTATTGATATATTTTCCATCTTTCTAACCTTAAAGAAAAGCTCATATAATCATCAGTATGCCTTATATAATTTTCAAGACAAATATCAAATATATTGTATTATTAGTGATCACATATCTTATTGATTCGATTTAACGAGGCCAAACACAAAACTAACATATACCAAATCAACGACTCGTACAAATCACATGACACTTTGGATCCAGTATAAAAGCTTGTGGTTTTACTGCCTATTGTGAAAGTCTTACATTATCGGCAAGAATTACATGAGTTCGCGTTGACCATGAAAACCACAGAAAGTTAAGCCCTTCAAACTGGTACGGATGCAATGAGCCTGTAAAAAATCAGGAGTTTGATCGAAGTGTATGAAATCTCTATGATCTTTCTCATGTTAAACATATTTGTCTCTCTAGTGACCAGAATTTATATCCTCGAACCTTTGAATTTCGTTCTGGAAGGCTGAGATCTCCGATTCAGATTCCCAATAACATTCATTATAAGAAAGTTCTTTAAACTTCACCAGATACTCCATTCCATCATCTTCTCCCCTGCAAGAAATGATCCGGTTCACAGTGGTCTAGTCAGGAGGAATGGCCACAAAGTCTTCTCCCTTGTAACTCACTGACTCTATTTTAAAATGAAACTTTTTCACCCTTGTTTTAAATGAGGGATGGATTTGTGAGCCTTTTCGAATTCCTCCTCCGATACTCAAGAGCAGTGCAGGTACGATATGCCCTTCCACTTCAACAAATATTGCTTGACAAACAATGGCGTTGGTACCACATTATTGGAATCCAGATCAGTAGATGTTAGGACACATTTCATAGTTCAGAATCTTTTCCATTTTGATAAGAGGACTGACCGGTTCTCTTTTGGCTATCCCTTCAACCTCTTCAGTGATCAGATCCTTCTATGCAGGTATTTTCACTCAGTTTTAAAGGTTTTTAAGTGATTTTCATGTTTTAGAATTTTAAAAGAGTTTTCAGGATATCTTGACAAAAAGAATGCACTTGGGAGCAGAAATCATAACTTTGGTTAAATTTAGACCGTCGGAGTTTTAGTAATAAATGGAGGTCTTCCCACAGTCTGATCATTCTTATATTTTGAAAAATAATAAAGGAAACAACCAGCTTTCCAATGCAGGTGGAATCAAAGCAATCCAACGGTTAGATCTCCAGATATGGTTGATGCACTGAAGGCGAATCAACACGGTCGGAAGCTCACCCGCGGCCGAAACATCATCCACCGGGGGTGCGAAATTTCAGACCGCGGGAGCTCAATGCCGAGCTTTAGAAGCCCACTTTAAAGCTTAAGTCACTCACGTCCTTATTCCTGCAAGCCCTAGGCGTTCCCGAGGACTCGAGACACTATATAAACCCCTTTTAAGTAGAAGGGTGTGCCGTGTTTTCACCAAGAACTCTAGAGAGAGAGACTCACCGTGAAGAGGAGCCACCAAGAGGGGCACCATCGGCCCTCCTGATTCAATCTGTTCTTTGTTTCTAACCCTTGTCTATTTTAATTCTCTGCAATTCTAAATATCTTTGTGATGTTAAACTCAGCTATGTCTGAGTAATTCTCCAGTTGAGTTTTTAAGAGATTTTTCAAAGGGAATTTCATGTATTGATCATATGCTTTGTTCGATTTAGGGTTATTAATCTTCTAGGAGTCCTTCGTTCATTCTTGTTCCCTATGCTGTTTCTGTTGCTAACCGCTTAGAAATTGATCTCAGTAATTGGAGCCACGAGAGTGTTGTATCGAATCACCAGACCTAGAAGTGATCGAGCGAAATCGCTATAGGAGACGAAAGCTACCTATAGAGAATCGTGAGCGGGGATGAATTCTGTTTTTAATGCATGATCTTATTCGCGGCATGAGAGCGAGAGTTAATTGCTGTGTTGAGTGATTTGTTGATTAGAGTGGCGAGAGTTGGCTAATCATACCTACACCAATTCGAGTTCGGGATCCTTATCAATTTGTTTGTCTTTTGATCAATTCATGAACCCCTGCGAAAACCCTTTAGACCCAGCGCTTAATCCTTATTGTTTTACAACTTCTTTATTTTGTTTGCATTTAGATTTAGTAACTCCAAAACCAAAAACCCCCATTTTGCTTGTTCTACTAGTCTTAAGTCTTGATTGATTTGTACTGAAAGCTCAAAATCTCTGTGGTTCGACCCCTAAGTACTACAGCGTACATCTGTGCACTTGTAGATATTTAGGGTTATAAATTTAAAACGTGAAGCTAAAAGTAACCCTTGATTCTCTTAGCATCAAGTGTTTGGCGCCGTTGCCTAGGATTTTGATTCCTTTCGTTGCGAATCTCTGCTTAATTCTGTAGAACTCTTTTTAATATTTATTTTTCTTTGATTTTTGAGGTAATTTTTCAATGAGGGGTCGGGAGCATATCTTTGATCCTCTCGCTGAAGAGGACCCTTTTCTAGATGGTGATCCATCTGATGACGAGCTTAATGACCCAATCGATGATGGCAATGAAGCGATTGGAGAACCAAAATATGCCAGGAAGGGAGAACAGTTGATTGGAGAATGCGATGCAGCCCACAAACGTTTCGCAGATAAGCGAGCAATTTGATCACCTTTGCCTAAGGATGGCGACTCTGAGGCTAAGGTACAATACATTAGCTATCTCAAAAAGTATAATGGTTTTCCTACAGAACATCCAATAGAGCATATTGAAAGTTTTTAAGAGCTGTGTTCAACCATAATGAGGAGTACCGATTACCATATGTTTGTCCTTTTTCCATTCTCTCTAACTGGTGGAGCTACTAAATGGCTTAAAACTTTCCCACCTGCGTCCATAAGGACGTGGAAAGAGTGTAGAGAGCTTTTCCTAAGTCACTTTTACACCAGAGATTGTTCCAATCTCTTAAGGGACAAGATCCCAAAAATTTCAGTAGAAGGACACAGAGGACCTCTATGACGCCTGGGAAAGATTCAGAGACTACCAAAAAGATTGTCCACACCATGGTTTCTCCGAGGAGCACTTGATGGCCATCTTCTACCATGGAGTTAATGAAGAACTGAAGTTTTCTTTCGATACCTCTAGCAATGGAGACTTTTCCACTAGATCTGTTGATGAGGCTCACACCTATATCACTAATCTAGCTGGAAGTATCAGAAATATAAGACTTCTAACCCAATATAGATGTCCTATGATCGAGGAAAAATAATCATCTGTTGATAAAGAATGCCTAAATCAGATTAGGGAAGACATCCATAAGATCCTTAGTATGATTGATCCGATTCATAACTTCGATGATAGAAGCAAACATAACGAGCCCTATATTGAGAAGATGAAGAAGTTTGAGGTGGAGATGAACTTCCAAACCCTAGAGATGATGCAAACCACTGATGTTTACCAGATTGAAGAGGCTGAGCAGAATCAACCCCACCAGGGGTGGGAGTCTCTCAACCGCGGCAAAACTGGTGCCCACCGCGGGTGGGAAGCTTTTGGCCGCGGCCAAGAAGGGTTTCATCGCGGCTCAGAGCACTTCACCCGCGGCCAACTTGATTTTCAACCTCCTTTCCAACCTTCTTTCGAGCAAACCCAATCTGATCAATCCAATTCCATATTTCCTCCTTATTACCCTTTCTCCAAGATTGAAGAACTTGAAAAAGAGGTTAATAGACTCAAAAAGGAAATGGAGAGTCAATCAAAAAGACATGAGGATGCTATTAACAAGCTATCCACCATTTTTATCCTTCAATTTAGTGATGAATCAAAGGAGACGGATTTCTCCATTAATGATCTTGATGAACCCATTTCTGATAGAATAAACAAATTTGAGACCTCTGATCACTTAAAAGCAATTACCCTCAGAAGTGGTTTAGCTTACAAGGAGCCAGAGTATCCAAAAGATTTCAAAGAAGGAGAAAAAGGAGGAGTTTCGGCTAATGAAGAGGGAGATGCCGTTGTCAGGAAAGAGGGTGAAAGGGAAAAGGAAGACACTCCTCAAGAAATTTCTGAAGAAGAACCTATACCGCCTCCTCTCACTCGTGTCTACAAACCTAAACCACCATACCCACGAGCTCTGAAAGGACCAAAGAAGGAGAAAGAAAGGGCTAAGCTGAAAGAGATGATCGAGCAGTTAAATGTGAGATTACCTTTCATTGAAGCTTGTGCAATGATACCTGCTCTTAGGAAATACATGAAGGGCATTCTAACAAATTCTTTAGCATTAGAAGAAGGTGTTATGATGATAACTCATGAATGTAGTTCCATTTTACAAAACCATGTCCCCTAGAAGAAAGAAGATCCGGGAAGTTTTGTACTCTCTTGCACAATTAGGAATGTGACTTTTGAACGTTCTCTATGTGATTTGGGATCAAGCATCAACATGATGCCGCTCTCAGTTGCAAAACGTTTAGGATATCATACTTTCCAGCCCACAAAATCTCGCTGATTCTTGCCGATCGATCAGTCAGACAGCCGGAAGGAGTCCTGGTTGATGTATCAGTCATGATAGGAGAAAACATTATTCTGACTGATTTCGTAGTGCTTGAATCAGAAAGGGAACCAAAGGATCCTCTGATACTCGGTAGACCTTTCCTATCAACTGCAGGAGCAGTAATCAATGTTCCGGAAGGAAAGATAGACCTTCATCTAGGGAGTCTAATTATGCAGTTCGATATGAACAAAAGTCTTGGGAAATCCACTTTAGATGCAGACTTTGCTGGGTTGATGAGCTTGATGAAATTACTGAGGAAGTTTATGAAGAAATCCTTCTTGACTGATAACACTGTATTTTGACCACTTTTATGGATCGTTTTGAAATACTTTTTCCATGTTTTTAATTGCTTTTAAGTACTTTAATTATATTTTTCTAGTATTTGTAGTTCCAAGACTCTTTTCAGGTAACTTTGGGAAAAGCTTAACAAAATGGATAGAAAACCAGATTTCAGCTCAGAGTCAAACCGTCAGAAGTTCACCCCTGATTGAAGGCCTTCTCACCGTCTGATCCAGCTCAAATTTGGAGATCTTAAAGATGGAAGTACCAGCTTTCCAGCACACTTTACAGCTTGGAAATCCAACGGTTCAATCAAAAGATACGTGAAGAGTAAGATGTCCCGTAAACCAGTCGGCAAGCGTTTCCACCCGCGGCCAACAAACCATTCCCCGTGGTCACAACCACCACGACCGCGGCCAGCCACCCATTCCCCGCGGTCACGCACATCCCGACCGCGGCCAGCTAACTCTGACTTTGAAGGCCCATTTCTGAAGCCCGTATCATTTTCCTAGCCTCAATTCCGGAACCCTAGACACCAGAGAATATTGGAGACAATAAATACTTGTCATTTAGGTTGTTTTTAAGAAGAGAAGAAGAGAGACGAAATACTTTACAGAAATTTTACTTTAAGCTTTGTTTTTAGGTTTTAGGGAGAGAGAGATCTGTCTGTTAAATCCTTGTTCTTTCTTTTTCAATTTCGGTTTCTATTCTACTTTTTAATACTATGTTTTTGATTTCGTTTATTATGTCTGAGTAGTTTTATTGTTGGGTCTAAGGGATTTTCGGTGGGGATTTATATGTTCGGTGAGGATTCCATGAGCTTTTGAGCCGAATCTTAAAAACTTTTTCTTCTAAATTCGTTTTTACTGCATGAGAGTAGCGTCATGAACTACAATCTGATCCAGATGCTTGGTGACATGAAAGTGTTCATCCGGTGTCAGATCCAGTTTGGGAGAGCAAAACAAACATAGGAGTGGAAACCTAGCTATGGGCGATTTGTGAATGCTGACGAGTCTTAAACATAATGCATCTCTTCTTTTCCAGGGCCAGAGTGGAAACCTACTGGTCAGGGTTGAGAGAGATAATTGTCTATGATCACGACAGTGGCGTATTCATACGTCCGTGACTCCAGTTCAAAAAGTTTAAGCTACGATCTTATCAAATTTACTCTCTAGCAATGTTTTGAATCGTTCATACCCCTGAGAAAACTTCCCTGAACCCCAACGCCTCTTTTCTTATAGATTTACACCGATTTTCATTCAAGCTTTAGTCTAGTTTATTTACTCTTTCAATCGATTTTCATTCAAGCAATTAAGTTAGCCGTTTTTCTCGTTTTTACCCGTTTAGGTTAGCCGTTTTTCTCGTTTTTACCCGTTTTTGTTAAGTTTAGTTATTAGGTCATTTTAATTCCCGTATTTTTTCTTTAGGATTCGTTTTTACGTTTTAAACACACCACCAAAACCCTCACAAAACTCGTCTGGTTAAGGCTTTTGCAGGAAAGATCCTCCTTCCCTGTGGATTGGATTCCTAAGTACTACAATCGATCAGCTGTGCACTTGCGGCTATTAATTTCATTTAGGGTAAAACTTGACACCCTCACGACACCGCATCAAGTTTTTGGCACCGTTGCCGGGGAAGGCACGCGTTTTCTTTTCCGCAAAACCCTAAGAAAGGTTGGTAAATCGAATCTAGAACCCCTTTTTCTGCATATTTCCATTTTTCGGTTATTTTGTTTCCATTTCAGAAGATATGGATCCTAGAAATCGAAATCCACACTATGAGGAAGGTTTTTACAACACTCCTCAAGCCACCAGACGCAGAGAGAAGCAGTACCTACGCGATATCTACGAAGAAATTCGAACCGAAGACTACAGAACGTTCCAGAACGAGCCATACATACCTTTAATGGCAAACCCTAGACATCCTATTTATCGCCTACCTCACCAGATTCTCCACCAGGATGAGAACGTCCAGCTCAGTAACCGATTGAGTCAGCTCGAAGGCGTGATCAAGCAGTTCATAGAAGCTTAAGCAACTGCTACAGCCGCTCTAAACAAAAGGATTGACAGGATATCAAAACTTTTCAATGAGAAGATCGATAACCTAGCCTCACAATTCAAATCAATAGAAGAACGAGCAACCAAGGACGCAGCTATGATCGCTAACAGGTTCATGGAGGAAGAGCAAGCGAAGCACACCTATGAGCTTTGCAACACCAAAAAAAAAGTCATGGACCTGGATTTCAAACTCGATGATGTGGACAAAGCCCTCAATGAAGCTAAGAACGAGTCCTATGACTTCACAGTCGAAGTTCCAGAGAAGGTTTACAAAGTCATTGACAAAACCGAAGAACTTGACTCGACCATGGACAAAGTAGTCTATGCTCTTGATGAAGTTGAAGAAAAGGTTGAGGAGATCATGCAAGGACTTGGAGAGCAGATTCCAGCAACCAAAACTAAAGACTCAAGTCCAGAGAGGAAGTACATCAAGCCAGAAGACCCAGGAGATCATCCAGGAAGCAAAGGAGCAAGCAACAGCAGCAATTCAACTCGGAGACACTTTCCCGCGGCCGCGTCGCTTCCGACCGCGGCCAAGATGCCTTCTCCCGTGGTCGTGCTTGGTCTACCCACGGCCCATGGGCGTTTTCCCACGGTCGCGTACCCTGCAGTCAAGGCCAACCGGAAAAACGTTCCAAAACAGTCCCGTTCAGCTCATACAAGCAGCTGTGCGACTGATACACATCCTGGGATGACTAAACCACTCCACCAACAACTGGTTTGCTCCATCAGCACCCAAAGATCTGAAGACGAGGACAAGTCGTAGCCCTGCAACATGGCTTTGTCTTGTGAAGATGAGTATGAAGAACAATACTCTGAAGATGAGTATGAAGAATAATACTCTGAAGATGAAGAGTATGGGTTGTTTGTAGAAGATCCAAACGCTGGATGTTCCTCAGAAGACAGTTCAGGAGAAATTCAATGGACAACCAACAACATCAGTAGAGAGAAGCTCATGGAGTTCAACAACGTGGTCAGATCATTCCCTGCTCACCTAACCTTTGATGAAATCTGGAAGCTTGGTCGTTTGCAAGTCTTTTTCAGGTACTGCAAGGAGTCTAAAGAAGATATCCATAGATACTTTATGCGAGCTCGATACAGGACAACACCAGAAGCAGCTGTCCATGCGATTCACCTCAAAAAGCCTGAAGACTGCAGCCACTACACCAACAAAATCAGCAAAGAAA